AACTACATATGTGTTTGGGGAACATCTGTGAAGACCTATCCGCACTAAATATAGATGGTGAGCGTTTATTAATGAAGTTCTCCGCAGTGAAATCCCAAGTACTTGGGTACAGATGCCGCATCCCAGAAGGCTTCATTATACTTGCCGGAAACGTTATCCCAACGTCTGATTCAGTTCGGGACTTAGGAATTAGGTACTCCAACTCTTTCAATTTCTCCGAACATGTTCTTTATCAGGTTGCGAAAGCAAGGCAACTATGCGAATATATCACCAGAGCTTTCTCCCTACCTGAAGTACGACTTGAATCATTCAAGACAATTGTACGACCGACTCTGGAATATTGTACTATCGTTCACAGCCAATTGAGAAAGAAAGACAGAACGGCTCTAGAAAATGTCCAACGATCATTTACCAAGCTGCTTATGGGACGCTGCTCAAACCTGACTTATTATGATCGCTGTCGAAAACTCCAGCTGGATCCACTTTGGCTGAGACGCTTAAAGAACAACCTCGTTCTCTTCTACAACATTACAAACCAACGAATTTACGCAGACAGCACCGCACTTGAACTACGGAAGATTGCAGTCTACCCCACACGTAATGGCGGCTAATTGATACATACAAACCTTTCAAGTCATAAAATTCGGTCGAATTTCTTCTTAGTGAGATACACTTATCTGTGGAACAAACTACCCCTACAGATACGCATGTGTACAAGCCATGTCACTTTTCGAAATCTCCTTCAGACCTTCCTCACTATACCAAATGCTCTGAAGATATTTGACTCACAGCAAACACTAGAAACATTGACAGAAGTTGGTATAAAAAACATTTGATACTAGCTTACAGCTAGCTTACCCACTACATGTCATTACATACCATACCAAATCCTGTGTCTTTGCAGCCTAATAGTCCCTTCCTTTATTATCTACTCCTGACGATACGAACATCCGTAAATTTTACATATGAGTTGCGCGGGTCTAGGACTCAACGGAAAGCAATCATGATCCGAAATGCTATCAATAAACTTTTCTTTGATGTTATGAAACGTGTTCACTATACAAATGATCGCTCCCACTTATGGGGCCGGGTACCGTCCGTCGGTAAATATAAAATTTATTTATTTATTTAATTGTTGCATCATGGCCACTTATATCGGCGACCCACCATACCCGAGTCCGCGACATCAAAGACATCTTCGATTGGGTGGATCGATGCGCCCTTTGGAATCGACGGATCAAGAAAGGTGTTCTCGCGAAATATTTGAACATTATCAGAGGGTTTTACGCGCACAGTTCGAGCAGAGTGAGGGATAATGACAAACTCGCTGTCTTTAATGTCATGGAAATTGTGAATCATGGACGTGATATAAAACGCGTGAAGCTGCTTCCAGGTTAGCGACTTTTGTAATAGAAATATGTCAACTACATTGTCCTAACCTACGATAGCCCACAATCGTAGCAAGCAGCACTGGACAGATAAGAAATGGCTGTCGGTCGTTTTGGGCTGTGCTATGCACCATCTAAATGCAGATTTTTCTTGCACGATTTGCTGAGACCACCTCGTGTACTGGCTCGCACTGTAAGAATAACAACAGACAAAACCGGTAAGATAGTGGGGTTAGGCGTAAATATAATGTAGAAAAATGAAAGCAAGAAAGAACAAAAATTGGCAACCAGATGCAAGAAACCGAATGCAGGAACGCCACTAACTTTTTGACTGCGCCATGTCTAATATGGTCTCCAACAATTGGTGTGGACCGTCCTGAGGTCCCCAATCACGCACCCGCCTGATCAAGTCTCTCAGCCAATTTCTTCAAGTCTCGATGCCATGCCATGGACTGGACAGCTCGAGGTTTCGCCCAACCTGGTGCAACTAAGCCGTATAATGCACACCGAGGAAGCCGATCAACGGGCGTACGGAGGATATGTCCTAGCCAACACAAGCTACTAAGATTCATCAAACACTCGAGGCACCAGAAGTCTTCTTGCCAAAAACCAACAGGCGGACCTCAGCATTGCTCACCCGGTGTTCTCACCAAACGCGAGTAATACTTCGCAAGAACCAGTGGCCAAACACAGTCAAGCGTTTAATGTCTTCATTGAGAACTGGCTACGTCTCCGGTTCACACGGTAACACTGGCGTTATCGCAGCGTTATACACCCTATATTTCCCTGGCAGGCTTATATTGCGATGTCTCCATAGATGGCTGAGGTTCTAGAAAACCACACGGGCCTCGCTGATAAGCGAAGTAACTTCCTCAGTGATGTGACCACCAGTGATGACACAGCTACTAATGTAAGTGAATCGATACAACTCTTTCAATGGCTGTTCAGAGATAGCTAAAACCGGAGACGTGTCGGCCCAGTGTTGCAACAACACTTCGCACTTTGAAGGTGTAAAGTACACGCCGAAGCGTGAAACGCTAAGAAGAACTCTGTGCAATAGTAACTGCACAGCCAATGCATCAGATTCAAGGAGAACTATGTCGTCCGCATACTCCGCGTTTGTCAGTCGGTAATCTGGCAGGACTTTCACTCCAGAAAAGTCTGAAAGAACAGTCATTCATGATCATTTCGGGCACAAAGCTGAAGACAGCGGATATATAAGACAACCCTGGCGAACCCCACTTGTCAGGGGGGAACTCGCGAGACCGTTTCCCGTAGACACTTACACGGCCTCGGGAGTCAAGGTAGGGAGTTAAGAATCGAAAGGAATTTATCCGACACGTCATTCATGGAGAGGCAGTGTTACAAGCTGGCGCGGTCAACAGAGTCGAAGGCCACTTTCAAGTCAAGGAAAACCACCATTCTGATAAGACTTTCATCCCAGTAGTTCACAAGCTACATAACAGAGCCTAGTCCGAAAAAGCGCCGGATGCGTTTCGCCCTACTGGGACTGGTCAGTGGTGCGCATTCCCTCGGTCCTCTAAGGAGGATCGAACCCATGACTGCTAGAAGCAGATGCTAACTAGCCAGCAGCTTAAGCCACTGAGCCATGGGGGACATGGGCTGGGCTACATAATTTGCAAACTAACTGGGATATAGCATCACCTATCTCCCACTGTCAATGAGTGGTTAGCCTGCGAGGTGATGACGTCCTCTCGATAGACGCTATATCTGTAGCATTTTGAAACCAGGAGAGGCTATTTTTATTTTATATTGCTCGCAAGTAGCAGGATGTTAGTGGAGTGCGCACCGCTGACGAGTCCCAATAGAGGTGCTTTTCCAGACTAGTCTCTGCTATGTAGCTTGTGAACTACTGGGATGGAAGTCTTATCAGAATTACAGCTTAAACCCTGCTACTTGCAAGTGATATAAAATAAAAATAGCTTCTCCTGGTTTCAAAATGCTATGGATATAGCGTCTATCGAGAGGATGTCATCACCTCGCAGGCTTGCCACTCTCATTGACAGTGGGAGATAGGTGATGCTATATCCCAGTTAGTTTGCAAATTATGTAGCCCAGCCAAGTTCCTATGGCTCAGTAGCTTAAGCTGCTGGCTAGCTGACATCTGCTTCTAACAATCATGGGTTCGATCCGCTTTAGAGCACCGAAGGAATGCGCACCATTGACGAGCCCCAATAGGGCGAAACACGTCTGGTGCTTTTTCGGAATAGGCTATTATGTAGCTTGTGAAGTACTGGGATGAAAGCCTTATCAGAATTACAAATTAAATCCTGTTATTCGCGAGTAATACGAAAACCACCATCGTCGGTCGTCTGTATGTGTTTCTGCTCCAGCACTTGGCGAAGATTAAATATGTGGTCGATACAACCACGACCAGAGCGGAAGCCAGCCTGGCTCTTAGTGATTCGGTCCTCACGGGGACCAGTAAGTAGTCGACGAATGATACCCGTGAGTTCTGAGGTAATGGAAATAAGGCTAATGCTACGATGATTTTCGCCCAAAGTACGCTGACCTTGCATGAACATGGGCACGCCAGTTGATAGTCGCGGGTCTGAAGGCACTTCTTCCATGTCTCAAATCGTGTTAAAAAGAGAAGCAAATCCAGTCAGCAAGTAGTCACCGCCGTCTTTCAGCAAGGATGGGGGCAGGTCTTCGGGTCCCAGAGCCTTGTTTCGTTGTAACACGGCAAGCTCATGTCGAACCTTTTCTAAAGTGGTAGGTGCGACATCTACGGTGACTCGCTCAAGTGGAATGATAATCCGCACTTCGAGGTGAGCCTCAGATGGGGTCTCTCAACTACCTGATTCGAATCCGAAAGACGATGAACAGGTTTGGTTAGATAAACTTGTAAGTATGTCTAAGGAACGGTCTCAATGGCGCTCGTGTTGTGGGTTTCTTTAACCCCCACTATTAAACATAACTGCCGTCTTCAACCCCGATCTCGTTAACAACGCTTCTGCAGACTCGAAGAGTTACCATAATATTTCCCTTCTAACCCGATTTACTGGCAGCAAAACCGAAGCTTTATGTGAAACTGGCGATGAGGCAGACTACATAGGTGAGTGGGCTTGGAATAAACGCAGTAAAGGACAGCTGCTCAAGTAGCCGCCATTACAGCAGTTCCTTCACAAGAAATCACACTACTCATCGGTGTGTGGATAGATCGCCTTTATCGGGAGCTAGGCTTACTTACGAACTTGGTCCTCTGGAGCGCCACAAAGGCCCTGGTCCAGGCTAACGCCCTACGGGGCGAAAAAACATGAATCACATAAATAAGGGATGGTGTGAGCGCTTTATTTCGGGGAACACATTCTACCTACCCGGTAGTGCTGTCAAGTAGCCTACTGTAGTGGTTTCCAAAGGACTGTAGGAATCAGCAGTAGGCCAGGCAATATAAGAGCAAGGGAAGCAACAGCGACTCATTGAATGGCGAAATTGTGAAGCTTCACGGGGTAATACAACGAAGCTGGCATTCGAAGCAATACTAACTAAACAAAAAAACACAGACATTGGACAGTGCAAAAGATAGCGGGCGTAATCGAAGCACTTAGCAGGACACAATAAGGGGTCAAAGATTTAGTGTCCACTTACCCTTCAATGTAACTGCGAGTCAGCAAATAGGCATCAAGGGAACGAAGACCAGAGTCCGAACTGAATTCGCTGGATACCATGACTTAGTTGTGAGCCTTGCGGAATGTGGAGGCTAATTAGGACTGATGAAGTATGAAATTGTCGTAAATCCGATGTGCTGAAATGAAGAAAGGTAGAGCCTAGATTGGAATCACACAAGAACCCAGTGAGTCAGGGTCGAAATCATTAACGACAACAGTGCGGCATAAATGTTGTAGTCACAAGCTGGTAAAAAGAGAACTAAAACAAAGAATGTCTATCATGCTCAATCAGTAAATTAGTACAGCTCCTGCAAGGCCGCAGAGGTAAGGATCAACACGTTAGGTGCATTTAGAATGGCGGTAAAGGAAGTGGTGTCGGCAGCACGCCGACACACCGTACCGGCGCTTCACTGCCACTAAAGTCGCGTGTGATCTGGGAATGCTGCGAGGTTCCTCGCACGTATGCAGATCCGAAACGGCGAACTCCGGATTACAAGGTGAGCATATGATCTTTTCATTTACCAGCCGATATGACATGATCAAAACCCGCTACTGATTCCATCGTTGCATTGCGTTAGCTAGCGGCAGAACAGTGCCCACAACGTTTGTGTGCTTCAGTTGCACCGTCATGAGATGACGGGCACCTATCTCCAAGCGCTATATAGCCTGAGGCTGGTCACCCGGTGTCTAGAAATGGTTCAAAGCCACATGTGCTAATCAGTTGAACTGGACCATGATATGCGTGGTGTTTTATACGCGGTGGGTATGGTTGCTCGATGACGATAAGTCCAGACCACTTCTTATGAAGCGTCGCAAAATACTCTGATGAAGGTACTGCTGGTGGAATTAAGCGTGAACGGTCACTGTGCAGCGCCTCGGTTTGCTTAGTGACAACACAGGAACAAAGCAGTTGTCGCATCGCTAGGTTGCAACTGTCAGGCGCACCTCTTCAAGCGGCCGAAAGGTGCGCAAAGTGCGCTGCTGAGACGTGAACCGGAGGGATGAACCAGTAAGTAGTTAGGTAAAGCGTGGCCCCAATCTAGCGAGATGTATTCGTCATGAGAGACGTCAACATAGCAATCAGCGACCGAATTGTGCGTTCAGTAACCCCATTTCGTGTGGATGATAAGCGGCAGTGCGCCTCTTTCAAAAGCAGGGTAGTTGACATAGTTCGGACACAGTTAATCTCTCAAAACTGGAGGAGCGGTGCAACTACAACGGGGCACCCATCGTGCAGAGATAGCTCGTTACATCACATGTGCGTCGGCACTTGATATGTGAGCGGTTTTACATCAATTGGTGAAGTGGTCGGCGATGATCAGGATACACCGGATACCTCGATGAGTTTCAGAGGTAAGGAGCCAAAGGCGTCAACCACCACAGTTGGTTCAAGAAACTGTGGTAGTGGCTTACAACGATGCCGGTAGGGTCAGTGAGGTGGATAAAAAGGTAGACAGCGCTGACAACTACTGCGAAATTCGACCGCATCTCTGCGCTGATTTGACCAACAGAAAAGCTGGTTAACAAACTGATTCACCTTCCTTTGACCGATGTCTCGGTTCGGCAAGTAAACACTGCAAAACAGAGTAGACCAACGTTGGAGCCGCTGTCAGTTTAGAGTGGGTGGTGCCGCATTTGTAATAAACTACCGTGCGTTCCAAAAAACCGTCCGTTTTTACTCCGTTGCGCGGTGAGTAAGATGCATACATGATGGTGACACGGAAGCGCACTAAACTGCCAACTATCCAATGATAGATGTTGGTCTCACAAAATTTCGCTCACCCGGACACAGGGGTAAGAACAACTGCAGTGATTTCAACGTGCCAGGCCAGAGGGTCTGCATTCTCGGTACCGGTGTATTGACGTTGGATGGACAAACAGACCAGGGCCGACATGAGTTGCCACACCGATATTGGAATGCCAGGCCAACATGCCAGTATAATCCACCCTTACAACGATAGATGAGCAGACAGAAAAACCCGCAAGACTTCAATGAGAAGGGTATTCACCGCATTGATTGGTCTTGGCAAGATCGATGGACACTCGCTATGAGGCAGGTTAATAAGCTAGCCACAGCGATCCCTGGCTTTGCGCTGTGTTAACATTGGGTTCGACCATCGGTTCCTTCGCAGTTTGGCTGACATCTGGTGGGAACACCGCCTGAGTAACGAGCATGTTCGACGCATTGTTTACGGCACAGGGAAAAGAACTGAACCGCTCACCACCGTCATTTCACGCACCAGACTCCGATGGCTGGGCCACGTGTTGCGCATGTCAGCCCACCGACTTCCACGACGTGCGTTATTTGTTCACCGAGGATGTGGATGGAAGAAGAGGAGGGGCGGTCAAGCGATGATTTGGTCCAGAGGAATGAAGGCCCTCACCTCGGAGCTGGCCTCGGTTGGAGCGTCACGGCTCCCTGGTTGGGGTCCAAAAGCCGGTGAACATGTTTGGCTGGATACACTTGCTGACATGGCAAGGAACCGACCTCAGTGGCGTTCCTGCTGTGAGTTTCTTTGTCCCTCTCCATCCCTTTTAGCTTCCCCCTATACCTAGGATCGCATTTCATAGTGTAACACAAAATAATTTTTCTTTTGGCCTAGTAGCCCGCTGGTAGCTTACCGGAACGATGCCTATCCGTTGCTGGTAGCTCAGCTGGCATGCAACTGGCGTGTTTATTTTCCTTTTTCTTTATGTATTGGGGTACAGTAACTGAGGTGTTTCTCACCTCTAGTTGACATGTATAATGATGATATAATGATGTGTTAACATTGGAAAATGAGCACACTGCAACCGCAGTCTCTCAACGTGCCTGTGAATCAGTACGTGATCCCTCTGCGACTTTTTGGTGAGTACCAATCGAACGCAGCCGAAACGGCTCGCCGCTACCAACTACACAATGAGGCCCGTTAACGAGCGGTACGTGCGTCCACTGGTGAAAAAATGTTTGACAAAACTGGGAGCGTGTGTAACGCCAAATGAACCGGGCAGCCTCGTACCGCCACGGATGAGGTGTCCGCTTGCGCTGTTGTGAGTGATAGCCCGAAAAAGTGTTCTCAGCCTTCAGATAACCACCCAACATTGCGCCACCACACTAAGTTCTGTGCATCGGAGATTGAAGAAACGAAAATTCTGAAGGTATCGTGCACTGCAGGTACAAATTTTGAAGCCATGCGGTTTGGAGAAGCGTCGGGAATTTTCTCGCTGCTATGTGGATACCATGGACGTGTATTCAATCATGTTTACGGATAAGGCACTTTTCCGTCTGCACGGCGCAGATAATCGGCAGGTTTGGGCAGCCAATAACCCACGACAATGCAGCGCTTCCCGTATGCAACATGGCGCACAGCTCATGGCATGGGCTGGGTTGACAGGCCGAAAATTATCGGACCATTTTTCTTTTCTAAGAATGTGACGGGTAACTTGATTTTTTAACAGAACTAATGCTTTACATTTGTCAGCATCTTCCTACAAAGAAATGCTGCAGAGCTGTGTATAGGGCACGGGGTGTACGTGATTCACTTCAACCCAAAGTTGCACATGTGCGAATTGTCACATAGGTGATGACGGATTACATGACGGGGAATGGGTGCAGCAACTCGTTAGTATCTGAGATCACCAACGGCTAAGTAAGATGAAAGTGAGTCAGTGTATAATAAGGAATTTGGGCGTAATAAACAGCACCGTTATAACAGGGCCTGTCGTCAAATAGGGTTACTGTCTACTCGCATTCTGAGACGGTGAACAGTCGATGTTCCTAAGCTAAACATCCATGCGCTTGTCCGTACCATCTATCGCGTGCTGTGGACACGGCGTGTACGGAGCAACAGGCATAATACGAGTGATGCATTAAAGCGCTGAAGTCACAGCTTACTTTGGATAAACCGGGCAATTGCATATGCGTCGGCGGAAATGGACACCTTCACTAGTGCAATGACCGCAGCACAGGTAGATTCCTGGCGTCATGCGGTTGCGACGTACCAACACGTGCAATAAGATTGTAATGACTGTACTGAGCTTAGTGTTTGTTCCACGGCTGGCACACAAGGCGTCTCAAAGCAGGGTGTAACAAGTACGCTGAGTACTGATTTAGTTGGGGCATTGAAGTGAACGTGTAACGAGTCACGTACGTTGGTATGGTGTGGAGCACAAAATTCAAAGATGAAAGTGACACCAGAGTTAAGCGTATACCAATGCTGCGGTAATACCATGATGTACTAGTGGAGGAGTAGTGATGCGTGACTGCTGTACTGTTATACTCGTACTGTGCTGACATCCAGAGTAGTTCGTTGCTACTCGAAAGCCGTGTAACCGGCGCCCGGCGCTCAGGGTCCCTCCTGAAACAAATTGGACAGGGTAACCCCACTTGTTTCCTGCAATTGCGATCAAGACAGTGACGGGAGAATAGGTTATGCGGCAGTGAGCAGTCTTTAAGCGGCACAGATTTGCGAAACTCCCTTCTCAAAACGTTACATTCCATATGTGCAAGGCCTAATTGAAAGGAATGCCTCTCTTGCTAAGGTGGGTTGTTGAAAGCTAACTTTCAGTCTACAAGAGCGTTGCCAATAACCCTTTTGTCCTTAGCTGAGATAACACTAAGTACCTATTGAACGGTTCTTGCTCAGACCAGTTAGGTCTGTCCAAGCGCCATCAAAATTCTACCGCAGTAGCCCGGTACTGATACTCTGCTGTCTTCGTTCCAACCAGTCTGCAACACGGTATGCAGCGAGCCGTAGGTTAACCAACTCAACCATCCGCGCCCATCCAGGGTTTTCACGACGGACGAGAATGGCAAGTACACCTGTACCCAGATGCACGCATACGGCCATCACTCCGGTCTTTCACACCCATGCGACCGTGTGAGGGACATTTTGATAAAGACCAACATTTACTATTGGACAGTTAGCAGTTGAGTGCGCTCTCCTCGAAACCGAAGGAGTGATCCTTGGTCCCCAAATAACAGAGTAAAAAGGACAAGACTTCTGGGAGCAACTGTACGTTCATAGCCTTACTGCTACGCGGGCAAAATTTTTAAGCACTAAGGCGCTGGCTCAGATTACTTATGTCAACCCTCTTCTCCTACCTGGGTAATTGAAAAGCTCTATGTGCACACAACACATGTAGATATGAATTTTCAT